CGTTCGGTGACGTGAGAGTCAAAGCCCGGAGCAAAGTACTGGCCTACTACGCTGCCAGAGGGTGATCATAAAAAATCAAAATCCTAGAAAATTCAGGTTGGAAGGGACCTCCAGAGGTCACATGTAGTCCAACCCTCTGCTCCAAGCAGGGCCAGCCCCAGCTATCTCATATGTAGATATCTATATGTATATATGACGGTGAAGGGAATTCATGGTGAAACATTGCAGCAGGATCTCGGTTAGGCTGAGGATTGGTCTCAGTGGCTTGGGTCTTTTGGCCTTTCTGGACACCTTCTCAGCCCACTCTTAGATCGAGCTGGTCCCTGCCTTGCCCGGATGGCAGGGTTCAGTGCTCCCTGCCCTCCCGGGCACTGTGCTGGAGCACAGCCATCGCCGTGAATGACTCGGAGGATTAAAACGAATTCCTGAGCTAACAGACCCTGAGGTCCACGGTGTGACCGCAAGAGAGAGCGTGAAACTGCAGCCTGGCTGCCCCAGTGCAGCCCGCAAAGAGGTTGTTGCTTATTGGTATTAATAACCTGCTGCTCTGATCTCCGAGAAGGCAAACCCCCGGCCGACGCTGTTTGATCAGCGGCGCGGTGGATGTATCTCCAGCAGCAAATTAAACGGTCGCATTCTCAAAAGACCAGGCAGCAGGAACCAAGGCTAAAAATGCCTCAGGCAGAAAATGAGCTTTATAGTGTTTTGGCTAGCTTAAAATGAGGTGACAGATGCTTAATCAGCTTACTCCACATCGGTGTCTGTCTGTCTTGGTCCCCTCCCCTGCCGGCAGCGTGCAGCAGTTGGCTGCATGCTCTAGCACCACGGGTCGAGTGGATGTGAAAGCTGGGAGACCCCCCACTCCCCTGGGGGAATGGTCACATATTAGGGCTAGGCCAATTTAAAGGAGACACAGGCATTTATTTTGAGTTGGTCTAATAAAAGATATCAGATTTACCCAAAGAACCTTGTCTACAAATAGGAATTTTTATGTCCACCTAGAAGGAATTTTACAATCTTTGCATTCGTTGCATCTGTGCCCGAAAGCTTGCACATAAAGACATCGTAGACCAGGAATCGGAGCTCGTGGCAGAGGTGATATCTTTATTAGACCAACTAGATGTTCATAGAATTGTAGAATTCGGGTCAGAAGGACCCTGTAGATCTTCAAGTCTGACCCCCCCCCCGGCAGGAGAAAAACTGGGCTCAGATGACTCCAGCCAGGTAGGCATCAAGCCTCTTCTTAAAGACCCCCAGGGTAGGAGCCAGCACCACTTCCCTTGGAAGTTGGTTCCAGCTCCTGGCCGCCCTGACCGTGAAGTAGTTCTTATGGATGTCTAATCTAAACCTCCTCTCCAACAACTTGTGGCCGTTATTCCTTGTTATATGGGGGGTGCTCGGGGAAACAAGGTCTCTCCCAAACCCTTCTGGTCCCCACTAGTGAGTTTATAGATGGTCACCAGGTCCCCCCTCAGCCTTCTCTTGTGAAAGCTGAACAGGTTCAGGTCCCGCAGTCTTTCATTGTAGGGTCTGCCCTGTTGTCCCCGGATCATGCAGGTGGCCTCCTCTGGACCCTTTCAATGTTGTCCACATCCCTCCTGAAATGGGGCGCACAGAACTGGATGCAGTACTCCAGCTGTGGCCTGA